TTTCTCATATCTCATATTAGCATGCTTAATATGAGACTATTTCTCATATATTTTCGAGTATATTTTCAGTAAAAAAAGAAACCATCACTACCATACACTTGATAGCGGCCGGAGTCTCATGCATCTGTTCGGCTGGAGGCCCTTGACCTCGGGAAATACACCATTGACCTCAAGCGTTAATATCCTTAATACCCTTGGTGCCTTTAACGTTTAATGTCCGACTTAATTATTTTTTATATGAGGAATTTTAAATGAATTTTGAATAAATTAATCCAAAACAAATTAAGCACCTGCAAAAAAATAGTCATAACGCCCTAGGCCGTTATTTCCAAATAACGACCTAGAAAATTATTTTCTATTTGAAAAAATAGTCATAACGCCCTAGGGCGCTATTTTTTTTTAAAATAACGCCCTAGGGAATTATTTTGAATTTAACTGACTTTGACATAATAGAAAGTTCTCGTGATTCAGACGCTACACTAATACGGTACCGCTAACAATACGGTATTTTGAATAGTATTTTATAGTTCTCGGACACGAAGACACAAAAATCCTCTAATCCCTTATTCTGTTTACATTTTGACAGCTGAATTGAGTGATCTAACCCAACTTTTTTTTTACTTGTTTGCCAACTTTTATTTATCCTGAAGATTCCTGAGTTTGATCAATTTTCCCTTGGTGTTTTTATGGAGGAATTATTAGAAATTGCTGTTCTTACAGACGTAAATGGAGCGTAAACTAATTTTGCCAAAGCATAGCAGCGTTACGGTAAGGCATCCTCTAACTCCCGTTAACCGGCTCCGCTAACGCTAATACCGTAAGAACTGTCATACTTGTCAAATAACGTTACGATTTTACGATATTTGAAATTTGGACAGCACGAGAACTCTCTAATGTCATTATTTCTCTAGTAATATACCAGTCGGACATTAAAAAGAATAAAAATCGTTTATGTGTGGATACGGGAATTGGTTAAATCATTGAGTAAAATAATTGATCTGCTTTTAAAATGTATTAAACACGATGGAAAAATTCCTTTGACCAAGGTTGTCTGTTAACTTTTATGACGTCATCTGTATGCCTCAAATAATGTTAAGCTCCTAAGGCACCCCAGATACGTCATCAAGTTATCCATCACCAGACAACCTATGAACTTCAGGAACCTTGTTCTTTATGTTTTGACAGTTAAACAGAGGCGAAAGCATGATATTATTCATTATTGTGGAGGAATTAAAATAATTTATTGTACACGACACACCAAAGACCAGTGGCGGCTCGTGACTATTTCAAGTGAGGAAGCTAAAAAATATAGTAAAAGTATTAAAATCAGTTGACAATGAACGGGTTCGTATAATTCCGGCCCTTCGGGCTTGTATAACCTCGGACCTTCGGGCTCATGATTAAAATAATTCCGGTCTGTCGGGCTCGTATAACTCCGGCTCTTCGGGTTCGCATGACTCCGGCCCTTCGGACTCATATAACATCGGCCCTTTGAACTCATAATTGAGATAACCTCAGCCTTCCAGAATCGAGATTTGAGAAAAAAAACATATGGCAACACTGCTTATAATACAACAAACGTCAAAAAATTGGCCGGTCCCCTGTTTGGCTACTTCCTACGTATTCGCCGAGGCTAAATCTATATGCCCATGTGGTTTTTTTTTTTAATTTTGACAACTGTCAGTGTCAAAAATTTTTACCTTTTCTTTTTCTCAAAAAACAAATATCAGAAAACGATCCCCAGGCTCCGAAAACCCTAAAATAAAAAGTTTCATCGATATATGTCAAAAACCAACGGCCTGGCAACACCGAACGTCTTTTTTGACATATGTTAAAAAAAAATTGGTACTTCCTACGTATTCGCCGAGGCTAAATCTATATGCTTATGTGGTTTTTTTTTCAATTTTGACAGCTGTCAATCTCAGAAAAAAAAATTGTTTTTTCTAAAAAAACAAAAGTTAGAAAACAAGTCGTTTTTTAGTGGGTTTTAGGGTGAGATTTATGTGGCAACGTGTAGCAACACTTATATGAAATAGTATATTGTGTATTTAGGTGGAAAAGTGACACATTCTCGGCCGACGGTGTAAGTTGACGGGCGAGGCGTAGCCGAGGCCGGCAAACACCGAAGCCGAGAATGTGCTTTTCCACCGAAATACACATACTATTTTTTCTGCGATCGGTTAAATACCTGTTAAATGTTTGTCTTTTAGTTCCAATTATTCAGTAGTACAAGAATCACTTTCCCGGCCTAGGCCGGAAAAGTGTTTCCCGTATTGTTATTCATTGATTCCTTAGCAACTATTGAAACATAATTGAAATACCAGAATATTGAGTTTTGCGACCTGTCAACCGGTCAAAAATGCTGACATTTCTTGTCAATCGCAGAAAAATTTAATGAATTCATTTGTAGCAACAGTTGGTACAAAAAATTCAATTTTCCGTCGGGTTTGGAATTCGAATTTTTGAATTTTCCCGGCTCCTGATTGGTTTGGGGATTCGATTTTTGATTATTCCCGACTCTTGATTAGCTTTAAATTTCGAATATTCCCGGCTCTTGATGGCTTTAAAATAACCTATAATCTCGGCCCTTCGAGCGCGTGATATGGCAACACTGCTCATGATACAACAAACGTCAAAAAATTGAAATTTCAAAGTAGACCTTGATGTTTTCGACAATCGATATAAAATGACGTCTTTTTGTTTCAAAGATAACGGCCCGAAGAGCCGGAGTATTAAAATCAGTTGACAATGAACGGGTTCGTTCGGATAAAATTTTTGTCGCACAACAATTTGGCGATATCGACAGATGTCACCTGTTAAATTTGACACATGTTCGACTTTTTCCCCGCTCTACTATAAAAGCTACGAAAATCAAACCCCGGTACAAGGCAGTTTCACGACGCCAACTATCGATTTGTGTCTAAAAAAATTTGACAACTGTCAACGTCAAAAGTTTTTTTTTTTTTAATTTCACGAATTTCGAGAAAAAAAGTGGTGGAAAACAATCCCCAAACACCCTAAATAAGAATTCCCAAAAAAAAAACAACGAAAATGACATTCCAAAACCTACTTGATAAAAACTAAAGTTTTTCTCACTTACCCCCGGAATTTTTTTGTGGAAAATGAAGAAAACTCAAAGCCTCGTACTTTAAATCAGTTTTCAGCCCCAGAAAAGTGAAAAATTCGAAGAAAAACTGAATAAAAATGTAAACACGTCAATTGAAAATGGCCGACTGTCAAAAATGCTTCCTTGATTGAAGTTAGCCACAAGCGATGTTGCCATATCAAAAACATTTTAAATGGGATTTTGCTAATTATGGCATTTAAAATTAGAAATTTTTACTAAGAAATGAAGAAAACTCAAAACCTCGTATGTTAAATCGCTTTTTTCCATTAAAAAACCCCGGAAAAGTCGGAAATTCTGGAAAAAAATCACAAGACGTCACTTCAAAATGGCCAACTAAAAGCAAGTAAACTTTATAGTAAATTAGGTTAAAACAAAATTGCTACTTAGTCTTACTGACTAGATTGAAATGTAATAAACATAAATGTGTTTGACAAATAAAAAAAAAAAAAAAAGCAACGTTGCCACATCGCATCTCGGAAAAAAAAAATAACATTTTTCAAAGATTTTTTGTTTAAAATTCAATTTAATAATTAATTAATAATAATTATATTAATTAAAATTCCCCAAATAAATCATAGGAAACTTGTTTTCACTTTAATTTCAATGAAAATGACATTATAGTGAGTAAGACAAAGACAACGATAAAGTAGTATATGTTTGCAAAAGCACCGTTTTCTGAAAAAAGTAAAAATCTTAAGAAAACCCCATAGAAAACAAACCAAAGTCAATTTGATAAATTGAAGTTTTTGAATATTCCCGGCTCTCTGATTGGACGCTAAAAATCGCATTTTAAATACCGGTTTTTAATTGGTTTCAAATTATCCGCTGACCAATAGAATTATAGATTGAGCCTCGTGATTAAAATAACTTTGGCCCTTCGGGCTCACGTATAACTCCGGCCCTTCGGGCTCGTATTACTAAGTATCCCAGATTCACAGATTTTTGTCATGGAGGCAGTGTTGCCAATCTGAATTTGTAAAATTACACGATATGCTGGTCAAATTACACGTTTGTACACGCTGTCAGTTTCACTATTACACGATTTTTACACACGACCTGGCTGCGTTCAGGAATGACTACAGCCAAGCCAAAATTGGCATTTTGCGTTCGTTTTCGACTCCAACCTACGTGGTTCGGCATTACAGGTGGAGGGGAAAAGTAGGTTTGGGCATTAGATTGCCGACCTTGAACGCAACCCTTGGTACCCATTAACCCTTTTCACGTGGCTCCGGTTTAACAAACCGCAACATACCGCTCGAATTCCAGTGGTAGGTGTCCATCACGTCACTTTGTAACCGGGTTAGAAAACGATATGTCATTTCTCTAACCATTTTGTAACCCGGTTAGTTAAACCGGAGCCACGTGAAAAGAGCTATTGTGTATAACGTCAAGAAGCAAGTATAATTTTTTTTCTGATTTATGATTTTGGGAAATGGGTAAAATTCAGTCGAATCTGAGGCTTAAGGCTGCTTCCATCAACTATTTTGGGAAGTCCTAACGATAAGTATTCCCTAAAATGACATTTTTACATGAAGAAATGTCAATTTAAGGCATACCTATCGTTAGGGCTCGAGTGCTCCCCTAAAATAGTTGGTGGAAGTGGCCATTAATGCTCCTGATCATCGCTCAAATTCAAAATAAATTCTTAAACTTTAAAATCTTGTTAAAATCACCTTTTCTACATTTAAAATCGATGAAAAAACAAGCACAACCTGAATCGCAAATATACCATCGAGGCCTGCGGGTGACGTCACCACTATAGGCTGCTACGCTGTTAATACTGGTGACGTCACTCGCAGGCCCTGCCGATTTGCGAACGTACGCCTCATAAGGATAAGCAATCCTATTAGTACGATTCCTGGGGGTGGGGGCCGTGGCTTTGAATTGGAAAGCCGTGAAACAGAACAAAAATAAGAGAATGTCAAATTTTTCAAATTACACACAAAATACACGCTTTTTGTTTATGTTCGAAAAATTCACGCAAGCCAATCAAAATACACACAAATCGTGTAATTACACGCTAATTGGCAACACTGCGTGGAGGCGCGGGATTGATTGAAATAATGTCAGATTTTTCTAAATTATATTAAAATATCGAAATTTGTAAATTATTATTTCAATTAGGAATCGGAATAAAAAACTGAGATTAAATTTTCACTTTTTTGAGGGAGGCTTAGCCTCCCCTGCCTCCTCTGACGAGCCGCCACTGCCAAAGACAAAAGTGAAAAAAAAAATTGGAAACTGGCTCTGGAACGATATAAAGGGCACTTTCCAAATTTCACCGATAAATTGACCGGTTTAATAAACCGGTAGCTGACAAAAAATTCCGGTAAAAGTTAGGTGTAAGTCCGGTTACAAGATTTTTCTGATGCATTTTGGAACGCTTTGGTGTGTTGACGTTTGGTTGTGACGGTTGTGTTGCGACAGTCTAACGAACGACTGCCGATAGTGCCCATTTAAAGCAATTGATGTAAGTCAAAAGAAGTGTCAAAAAATCTTCCACCGACAAAAATTCCTGGTGGATCCGGTGCCTCACCGGTTTCAAACAGCTGATCATTCCGGTCAGTTTTGGAACGGACGATGTGGTTCAACCGATAAAAAGTCGGTACCTTTTGGAACGATTTGGTGAGTAAACTATTAAACCGGTATCGCACCGGTTCAGAAACCGGTGAATTTTGGAAAGTGCCCAAAGTCACGGTTGACTGTTGCTTTGAAACAAAACAAATCAGCTGTTTGACATTTTTGCTCGCTCAATGAATTTTCGCTCCGACTGTTCCGATCGTTCGTGTTCGTGTATTAATTTTTCACTCTAATCACTCCTAGATCACGTGACAAAAATCTGTTCTTACTCCACTACAACTCCGTGCTGAATAGCCAAACTCAGCTTACATTTTGATAATGCACCGGTTCACGACCGTCGCATCGGTTGGTATATTGACAGTTACCACCGGTAAATTCTGAAAAATGCTCATCCAAATTATTGTTTTGTTTGTTTATGTTTTGATATCTACATCTACTTCTACTCAGACTTTTGTATTGAATATTGAATAATAATTATTTAATCTTTTGATTTGAAATTAAATATCTATTATTCTATTCTTGATTCCCAATAATTATTTATAGTGAGAATATCAGTTACTTTTTTCCAAGAAATTTTCCAGGACTGTTTGAAGCAAGTACCTATTTCGTTAAACAAATTTCAATAATAAAATTAATATTTCAGTTGATTTTTCAAACCAAATCTATGAAAATATACCTACAAACAATTTAACTTTGTATTCTCCAATTTTAGATATAACACAACATAAAATTATACATCAGAATTGAAAATTTCACAAACATGGAAAAAAGGCTGGAATATTCGGTCGACCTATTGACCGCAATGCAAGTTCTTAAAAATTCTCAGAAAAACAGTTAATTACTAACTAAATTTTCAGGGCTATGAAGTGTATTATAAAAAACCTGTCTTTCTACCAAAACTCTGAATTCAAAGCCCTAGAACAATTGCCGATACCACTAAAAAATTCCATTTTAAAAAAGTTTACTACCACTGGTCTCAACACGAAAAATGTTAACGCCCTCTTAGTGGCCTTAATCAATAAACAAACCACCGAAATCAATATGACCCCGTTTACTATTACAGATAATTTATTGGAAAAGTTATGCGTTTGTGAAAACATGAAAAAAATTTATTGGTTTCGAGACAGGATTGGTTGCGAGTTTACTTCAGCAGGCAATAATTTACATTTCAAAATATACAGACTATACCATTTAAAAAGAAACAGGAAATATAATGATGTCACTTTTATTTTTTGAAAAATCGCTCGTACACGTAATTTGATTGTGTGAGTGAAACATTTTCAGCACTCACTTAAAACCCTCTAGGGAGGGTGGGATATCTCTGGGTGGAAACAACCTTCATCATTCCAAATGGAACAGAGGCTCGAGTGATACCTGTTTTAAAAGAGCCTTTAATTTTCTTTCAAATGACATAAAATATAAAAGAGAATTGAACGCTTTTTTTGAAAGAGGTATCATCACTCGACCTCTTGTTCCATTTGAAACAGTAATGGTTAGTCCCAAGGTTGTTTGAAAGTGGTAAGTGGTAGGTTGCTTGATAAATTTATGACGTCATCTGGGGTGCCTTAACACTTAACATACTGCAAATCTCCATAACTTTAGGAACCTTGAGTTGGTCCTACCTAGGGTTGTCTATTGTCTACCATCCTTTATTTCAAAGGTCAGTCCTTTATTTTAGACTAATGTCCTTTGTTCTTTGTCGTTTAAAATCCAGAAATATAAATAAATGTCCGAACTTTTTTAAAAATTCCCATACTATAAACATACATAAAACATACTCCATCATCGACAACATAGTTTATTTCCAAGCTTCAATAGTTCAATGTAAAGTTGGCCACATTGGAAAAATTTTGGTAAATCCCGGAGCTCCAATTTTGGACACGTTTTATCCTGTATACCAATAGGTCTAGCCGTGCCAAAGTTCCAAAAGTTAACAGGTTGTCTGGTATTCTCTGTATTCGTGCAGAAATCTCAAACTAGTCAGAGTGAATTTCATTACATTTTTGACCTCAAATTCCACTCATTTTTGACCGCGAATTTCATTTATTTTTGATCCTGAATTTTACTCACTTTTTACTAATTTTTAACAGAAAATTTTTTTGACATTTATTAATTTCACTGAATTTACTCATATTTTACCGGATAATTTTACTCATTTTTGACCTCGAATTTTACTTATTTTTGACCACGAATTTTATTAATTTTTGACCGGGAATTTTACTCACTTTTTACTGATTTTTAACAGATTTTTTTTCAATAAGAAAATTTTACTCATTTTTTACCGGGATTTTTTTCACTGTAGACTTACTCATTATTGACAGCGAATTTCACTCAATTTTTAATCAATTTTTGACAGAGATTATTTTTCTCCGAAGAATTATACTTATTTTGAATTTTGACCGGGAATTTTACTCATATTTTACCGACGAATTTTACTCATTTTTGACCTCGATTTTGGCTAATTTTTGATCGCGAATTTTATCAATTTTTGACCGGGAATTTACTGTAGACCCACTTTCTAGGATTTTTGGTGAATTTTTATAATTTTTGGAAATTTTTATGATTTGGAAATTGTCGTGTTTTTTTTGATTTTTTGATTTTTAAAATTTTCATGATTTGTGTTATTTTTGTAAGTTTTTATGATTTTCGTGATTTTGGTTTTATAATTTTCCAGATTTTCTTAATTGCTATGTTTTTTTCGAATTTTAAAAATCTTTTGTAATTTTCTTAAATTTTTATGATTTTTGTAAATTTTCATGATTTTTGATTTTCATAACTTTCTATGATTTTTTGTGAATTTTTATGATTTTTGAAAATTTTCGCGATTTTTGTAATTTTTCTTATTTTCTTAATTTCTATGGTTATTTCGAATTTTTGTAATCTTTTGTAATTTTCTTATTTTTTATGATTTTTGTAAATTTCCATGATTTTTTTCTCATAAACTTCTATGATTTTTTGTACATTTTTATGATTTTTGGAGATTTTCGTGGTTTTTGTCAACTTTTATGATTTTTGAAATTTTTATGATTTTTGTAAATTTTTATGATTTTCGTGATTTTTGTAATTTTCCTGATTTTATTGATTTGTATGATTTTTTAGAATTTTTATAATTTTTTGTAATTTTCTTAAATTTTTATGTTCTTTGTAAATTTTCATGATTTTTGAAATTTTCATGATTATTGTGATTTTTGTAAATTTTTATGATTTTCCTGATTTTTGTGATTTTTCTGATTTCCTTAATCTCTATGGTCTTTTCGAATTTTTGTAATCTTTTGTAATTTTTCTAAATTTTCATGATCTTTGTAAATTTTCATGATTTTTGATTTTCATTTTTGGAAATTTTCATGATTTTTGTGAATTTTTATGATTTGATAAATTCGTGATTTTTGTTATTTTTTTGATTTTCTTAATTTATATGGTTTTTTCGAATTTTTGTAATTTTCTTAAATTTTTATCATTTTTGCAAATTTTCATGATTTTCGAATTTCATAAATTTCTATAATTTTTTATGAATTTTTTTGATTTTTGGAAATTCTCATGATTTTTGTGAATTTTTATGATTTGATAAATTCGTGATTTTTGTTATTTTTTTGATTTTCTTAATTTATATGGTTTTTTCGAATTTTTGTAATTTTCTTAAATTTTTATCATTTTTGCAAATTTTCATGATTTTCAAATTTCATAAATTTCTATAATTTTTTATGAATTTTTTTGATTTTTGGAAATTCTCATGATTTTTGTGAATTTTTATGATTCTTAATTTTCATAAATTTTTGATGATCTTTGTAAATTTCCATGATTTTTGATTTTCATAAATATAAATTTCTATGATTTTTTGTGAATTTTTATGATTTTTGGAAATTTTCATGATTTTTTGTTTTTTTGTAAATTTTTATGATTTTCATGATTTTTGTGACTTTGATTTTTTTGAATTATTGTAATATTTTGTAATTTATTCTAAATTTATATGGTTTTTATAGATTTTTTTGAATTTTGTAAATTCATTTTTGATTTTCATAAATTTTTATGATTTTTTGTCAATTTTTATGATTTTTGGAAATTTTCATGATTTTTTGTGAATTTTTATGATTTTTGTAAATTTTTATGCTATTCGTGATTTTTGTAATTTTCCTGATTTTCTTAATTTCTATGGATTTTGCGAATTTTTCTAATTTTTCTAATTTTTTTAAATCTTTATGATCTTTGTAAATTTTTATGATTTTTGATTTTTTATGAATTTTTATGATTTTTGTGAATTTTTATGATTTTTAAAATTTTCATGAATTTTGTGATTTTTGTAAATTTTTATGATTGTTGTAATTTTCCTGATTTTTTTAATTTCTATGATTTTTTTAATTTCTATGATTTTTTTGAATCTTTGTTATTTTTTGTAATTTTCCTAAATTTTTATGATTTTTAATTTTCATAAATTTTTCATATACTTATTTCTATGATTTTTTTGAATTATGTATTGTAATCTTCTGTAATTTTTACTAAATTTTTATGATTTTTTGAAATATGCATGATTTTTCTGATTTATGTAAATTTTTAGGATTTTTGTGATTTTTGTAATTTTCCTGATTTTCATAATTTCCATGATTTTTTCGAATTATTATAATCTTTTGTTATTTTCTTAAATTTTCATGATTTTTGATTTTCATAAATTTCTATAATTTTTTATGATTTTTGGGAATTTTCATGATTTTTGTGAATTTTTATGATTTTTAAAATTTTCATGAATTTTGTAAATTTTTATGATTTTTGCAAACTTTCATGATTTTTGTGATTTTGTAAATTTTTATGACTTTCATGATTTTTGTAATTTTCCTGATTTTCTTGATTTCTATGATTTTTCTGAATTCTTGTAATTTTTTGTAATTTTTTTAAAATTTTTATGATGTTTGTAAATTTTCGCATAAAATTCTAGGGGTACGATATAGAATTCCAAAGAAATTATGTTGAATGGCTGAATGCTGAAAAAATTATATGGAATTTACATGCAATTCCAAAAAATTACATGAAATTGCAAAGAAAAAATGAGTCGAATTCGAGTGATATCACGCAAAAATTCAAAACAGAATAGTACTAGAAATTCCATTGAAATTACATGAAATTCCATTGGAATTACATGAAATTCTAGCAGGAAAAAAAATGGAATTCCGAAGAAATTCTATTGATATTTATAATAAATGAAATTAACTTTTCATGACTCATTGGACGGGTAAATTTATCCAAAATTTTTTTTTATGAATTTTTATGATTTTTGGAGATTTTCGTGGTTTTTGTCAACTTTTATGATTTTTGAAATTTTTATGATTTTTGTAAATTTTTATGATTTTCGTGATTTTTGTAATTTTCCTGATTTTATTGATTTGTATGATTTTTTAGAATTTTTATAATTTTTTGTAATTTTCTTAAATTTTTATGTTCTTTGTAAATTTTCATGATTTTTGAAATTTTCATGATTATTGTGATTTTTGTAAATTTTTATGATTTTCCTGATTTTTGTGATTTTTCTGATTTTCTTAATCTCTATGGTCTTTTCGAATTTTTGTAATCTTTTGTAATTTTTCTAAATTTTCATGATCTTTGTAAATTTTCATGATTTTTGATTTTCATTTTTGGAAATTTTCATGATTTTTGTGAATTTTTATGATTTGATAATTTCGTGATTTTTGTTATTTTTTTGATTTTCTTAATTTATATGGTTTTTTCGAATTTTTGTAATTTTCTTAAATTTTTATCATTTTTGCAAATTTTCATGATTTTCGAATTTCATAAATTTCTATAATTTTTTATGAATTTTTTTGATTTTTGGAAATTCTCATGATTTTTGTGAATTTTTATGATTCTTAATTTTCATAAATTTTTGATGATCTTTGTAAATTTCCATGATTTTTGATTTTCATAAATATAAATTTCTATGATTTTTTGTGAATTTTTATGATTTTTGGAAATTTTCATGATTTTTTGTTTTTTTTGTAAATTTTTATGATTTTCATGATTTTTGTGACTTTGATTTTTTTGAATTATTGTAATATTTTGTAATTTATTTTAAATTTATATGGTTTTTATAGATTTTTTTGAATTTTGTAAATTCATTTTTGATTTTCATAAATTTTTATGATTTTTTGTCAATTTTTATGATTTTTGGAAATTTTCATGATTTTTTGTAAATTTTTATGATTTTTGTAATTTTCCTGATTTTTTTAATTTCTATGATTTTTTTAATTTCTATGATTTTTTTGAATCTTTGTTATTTTTTGTAATTTTCCTAAATTTTTATGATTTTTAATTTTCATAAATTTTTCATATACTTATTTCTATGATTTTTTTGAATTATGTATTGTAATCTTCTGTAATTTTTACTAAATTTTTATGATTTTTTGAAATATGCATGATTTTTCTGATTTTTGTAAATTTTTAGGATTTTTGTGATTTTTGTAATTTTCCTGATTTTCATAATTTCCATGATTTTTTCGAATTATTATAATCTTTTGTTATTTTCTTAAATTTTCATGATTTTTGATTTTCATAAATTTCTATAATTTTTTATGATTTTTGGGAATTTTCATGATTTTTGTGAATTTTTATGATTTTTAAAATTTTCATGAATTTTGTAAATTTTTATGATTTTTGCAAACTTTCATGATTTTTGTGATTTTGTAAATTTTTATGACTTTCATGATTTTTGTAATTTTCCTGATTTTCTTGATTTCTATGATTTTTCTGAATTCTTGTATTTTTTTGTAATTTTTTTAAAATTTTTATGTTTGTAAATTTTCGCATAAAATTCTAGGGGTACGATATAGAATTCCAAAGAAATTATGTTGAATGGCTGAATGCTGAAAAAATTATATGGAATTTACATGCAATTCCAAAAAATTACATGAAATTGCAAAGAAAAAATGAGTCGAATTCGAGTGATATCACGCAAAAATTCAAAACAGAATAGTACTAGAAATTCCATTGAAATTACATGAAATTCCATTGGAATTACATGAAATTCTAGCAGGAAAAAAAATGGAATTCCGAAGAAATTCTATTGATATTTATAATAAATGAAATTAACTTTTCATGACTCATTGGACGGGTAAATTTATCCAAAATTTTTTTTTATGAATTTTTATGATTTTTGGAGATTTTCGTGGTTTTTGTCAACTTTTATGATTTTTGAAATTTTTATGATTTTTGTAAATTTTTATGATTTTCGTGATTTTTGTAATTTTCCTGATTTTATTGATTTGTATGATTTTTTAGAATTTTTATAATTTTTTGTAATTTTCTTAAATTTTTATGTTCTTTGTAAATTTTCATGATTTTTGAAATTTTCATGATTATTGTGATTTTTGTAAATTTTTATGATTTTCCTGATTTTTGTGATTTTTCTGATTTTCTTAATCTCTATGGTCTTTTCGAATTTTTGTAATCTTTCGTAATTTTTCTAAATTTTCATGATCTTTGTAAATTTTCATGATTTTTGATTTTCATTTTTGGAAATTTTCATGATTTTTGTGAATTTTTATGATTTGATAAATTCGTGATTTTTGTTATTTTTTTGATTTTCTTAATTTATATGGTTTTTTCGAATTTTTGTAATTTTCTTAAATTTTTATCATTTTTGCAAATTTTCATGATTTTCGAATTTCATAAATTTCTATAATTTTTTATGAATTTTTTTGATTTTTGGAAATTCTCATGATTTTTGTGAATTTTTATGATTCCTAATTTTCATAAATTTTTGATGATCTTTGTAAATTTCCATGATTTTTGATTTTCATAAATATAAATTTCTATGATTTTTTGTGAATTTTTATGATTTTTGGAAATTTTCATGATTTTTTGTTTTTTTGTAAATTTTTATGATTTTCTTGATTTTTGTGACTTTGATTTTTTGTGATTTTTTTGAATAATTGTAATATTTTGTAATTTATTCTAAATTTATATGGTTTTTATAGATTTTTTTGAATTTTGTAAATTCATTTTTGATTTTCATAAATGTTTATGATTTTTTGTCAATTTTTATGATTTTTGGAAATTTTCATGATTTTTTGTGAATTTTTATGATTTTTGTAAATTTTTATGCTATTCGTGATTTTTGTAATTTTCCTGATTTTCTTAATTTCTATGGATTTTTCGAATTTTTCTAATTTTTCTAATTTTTCTAATTTTTTTTAAATCTTTATGATCTTTGTAAATTTTTATGATTTTTGATTTTTTATGAATTTTTATGATTTTTGTGAATTTTTATGATTTTTAATATTTTCATGAATTTTGTGAATTTTTATGATTTTTGTAAATTTTTATGATTTTTGTAATTTTCCTGATTTTTTTAATTTCTATGATTTTTTTAATTTCTATGATTTTTTTGAATCTTTGTTATTTTTTGTAATTTTCCTAAATTTTTATGATTTTTAATTTTCATAAATTTTTCATATACTTATTTCTATGATTTTTTTTGAATTATGTATCTTCTGTAATTTTTACTAAATTTTTATGATTTTTTGAAATATGCATGATTTTTCTGATTTTTGTAAATTTTTAGGATTTTTGTGATTTTTGTAATTTTCCTGATTTTCATAATTTCCATGATTTTTTTCGAATTATTATAATCTTTTGTTATTTTCTTAAATTTTCATGATTTTTGATTTTCATAAATTTCTATGATTTTTTATGATTTTTGGGAATTTTCATGATTTTTGTGAATTTTTATGATTTTTAAAATTTTCATGAATTTTGTAAATTTTTATGATTTTTGCAAACTTTCATGATTTTTGTGATTTTGTAAATTTTTATGACTTTCATGATTTTTGTAATTTTCCTGATTTTCTTGATTTCTATGATTTTTCTGAATTCTTGTAATTTTTTGTAATTTTTTTAAAATTTTTATGATGTTTGTAAATTTTCGCATAAAACGATATAGAATTCCAAAGAAATTATGTTGAATTGCTGAATGCTGAAAAAATTATATGTAATTTACATGCAATTCCAAAAAAATACATGAAATTGCAAAGAAAAAATGAGTCGAATTCGAGTGATATCACGCAAAAATTCAAAACAGAATAGTACTAGAAATGCCATTGAAATTACATGAAATTCCATTGGAATTACATGAAATTCCATTGGAATTACATGAAATTCTAGCAGGAAAAAAAATGGAATTCCGAAGAAATTCTATTGATATTTATAATAAATGAAATTAACTTTTCATGACTCATTGGACGGGTAAATTTATCGAATTTTTTTTTTTATGAATTTTTATGATTTTTGTAAATTTTCATGATTTTTGATTTTCATAAATTTCTACGATTTTTTGTGAATTTTTATAATTTTTGATTGTAAATAAAAATAAATAAATAGAAAACTGCGGAGGTTCAAAAGTGAGTAGACCTTTGCATCAATTGACTCATTATTGAATTGTTCAACAACATCTCTAACATCATTCAGAAATATTCACTACGTGGCAGACATCGGTGTCCGCTAGGTGGCCGACGCATCACACCAGGGCGGACACCGGTGTTTTGCCAAATTCGTAAATCGACTTAATTTACTATTCTGTCCACTATGAGGCATTTTCAAAAGCGGACACCGGTGTCCGCCGCGTTGTAAAAATCTGGAAATCGGCTTTATCCGTTATCGTGTCCGCCATGGCGCTGTTCTCAGAACAAACACCAATGTCCGCCAAATTCGAAAATCGATTCCACTCGGTATTGTGTCCACTATGGAGTATTTTCAACAGCGGACATCGGTGTCCGCCGTGTTGTAAATTGCAAAAATCTCACTTATAAAATCACAATTCATTCATTAATGTATCGTTCAAAAACATCTGTAAAATCATTCAAAAACACTCCCAACTAATTTAATTTGAGCCAATTTTCATCGATATTCAATTTCATACTAACCCATGGACAGACATTGGTGTTCGCTAGGTAGCCGATGCAGCGGACACCGGTGTCCGCCAAATTTGAAAATCGGCTCCATCCTTTATTGTGTTTGCTATAACGTATTTTCAAGAGTGGACACCACAGGAGTGTCCGGTGTCCGCGAGAGTTGGTAACTCCACTCGTACACGTAATTTGATTGTGTGACATTTCAAGTACTAACTTAATTCTCTAGGGGGGTACGACCAACCCTTATCATTCCAAATGAAACAGGGGGTCGAATGGCACCTGTTCTAAAAGAGGGACATCAAATGAAAGATAATTGAATGCTCTCTTAAAAGAGGTACCACTCGACATCCTGTTTCATTTGGAATGACAAGGATTGGTCCCTCCCACCCTAGAGGGTTATGATGTTAGTGCTGTAAATGTTTCAAAGCCTCACACAATCAAATTACGTGTACGAGCGATTTTATAAAAAAATAAACCTGGTTTAAGATATTGACCCTGTTTCGTTTTAAATGGTACACCCTGTATACATTTTCAAACTAATCTGGATTCAATTTAGGTCTGATAAACTTCCTAGAACACACTCCAGAATTAACTTTTCTTATGCTCGTGAAAAATGACGAAATAAATGATGCAGTTCTGAAATGTATTTCAAACAATTGTGGCAAGTTGGAAGTTCTCGAAATAGCGGGATCTGAAAATGTTACTGATGCAGGTTTGATGTATTTGAGTACCATGAATCTGACCAGTTTATCAGTAATTGAAGCAAACGTAAATATTTCTTGCTTTGTGAAATATATAATTATAATCATATATTATCTAATATTTGTAGATTACTGACCAAGGTCTTATTGCTCTATCCAAAGGAAAAATTACAGAAACTTTGAAAGAACTTGTGGTGAGTCGTTGCAATAATGTAACTCATCTAGGATTGAAAACTATTGTGAAACATTGCCTCAATTTAACTTGGTTTAACCTAATGAATAATGCAAATGTTAATGCAGCAGAGGTTGAAGATATTGATCAAATTTTGAGAATCCCTCTTAACCAAGTATTTTATGATTTAACTCTTTGAATAGTAAAAATATAGACAATGGTTTATTTTTTAATCTGTTGTTTTATTTATTAATCTCGCCTCAAGAAATTTTGTTTTCACGTCTCTCGGTGGAAAACTGTCGATAGTATCAAATCAACTATCGAAGCGCTATCGATTGTTCCTATCAAATGGTGCAAACTATCGATAGTTCCCCCCCATCTGGTCTTTAACGCTCCAGTGCTTTTTCTTGTTCCGTCAAATTCAATGGAGTCTAATCTAAACAAAGTACTCTTGCTCTCGGAGCACTCATGCAGAGATCTGTGACGTCACTGTTCCGACGCTGGCAGCAATAGAACCGAAAATGTTAACTGCTTTCAGTCCGCTCCCCTCTAGGCGGTGACGTCAGAGATCTCTCCGAGAGTGCTCTGGGAGCAATTATAATCCAAACGAAGGCACACCATTTGAAATAAATAGCCGAACGTATTTAAACTCTTTAATCCATCGAATATGACGGAGCAAGAAAGAGCGTTCTAATGCTCAAGTCGAACATGTGAATCCGCTCCGGATCGCTTTTTGATCGTGCGAAAACAAAACACAATCCGAATCAGTTCTGAATTCTTAACAAGCTTTGTTTGCGGATCGAAACTGGTTCAGAATGGACAGAACTAAACGCCGGAATCAATTCTAGTTGAATCACGAACAAAAAACTGAATAGTTCTGAATCCGTTCCGAGACGTGTTCGCAAATCACATTCCAAAATGGATTCGGACATAATTCAGAGTTGTCGTAGAGTACAGATGAACACTAGAGCTGTTTTCTCGCGGTGGAACTGGTTCGACCCGGTTCAATTAGGTTCGAACCTGTACATTCTTGCGTTGAACCAGTGACGTCACATTGAACCTGGTTCAAAAAAGTTCGAACCGGACTCATGGCTTGTTCTCCGTTGACATAAGACTCTGGTTCAAACCTTCCATTTTCTCGCGTTCATAAGTGATGACGTCATTTACAAATTGGTTTAAACCGTAGTTCGAACCATTCGCCCCGCGAGAAAACGGCCTAGGATTTTATTGTATTGCAAACAATTTCGGAACACGAATACTTTGAATTTGAACTGAACTCTCTATATTAACCTATGTGAATTTTGAAATCCGTGGAATCGACAGAACTTGTTTCAGAATCGATTCTAGTTGAACTGCGAACAAAGAACTGAATAGTTCCGAATTAATTCTTACAGCGATTTGTTCGCGGTTCACATTCCGAAACTAATTTGGAACTGATTATGTTTATTATGAACTAATTAGTTCGAAATGCTTTGAACTGTGAACTCTTTACCATCCTACATGAATAATTTACTAGAATCGGAACTTGTTCTGGAACCGATTCTAGTTGAACTGCGAACAAAAAACTGAATAGTTCCGAATCAGTTAACATTCCGAAACTGGTTCTGAATTAATTCAGGATTGTCAAGTGCCTAATTATGAACCAGTTCAGAATTTTATTGAACCGCGAAACCATTCCAGAACGAAAATCGAATACCTACTGTGAACTTCACCATCCAGCATGAATGATAAGCAATTTTTCGCGAGGATAATCAAGCATAATCTAATTATGCTGGGTTAATATGATGTGTAAACTCATTCCCCATCAAATTCTGGGCCTGCGAGTGACGTCACTACCAGCAGCTCATAGTGATGACGTCAGTTGCAGATCTCGATGGAATGCTTGCGATTCAGTATGTGCTAGTGAGTTAATTTTTTCGTCGATTTTAAATGTAGAAAAGATGATTTTCGGTCTGTTCTCACAGAAGAAATTAAGTGTTCTTGATCCTCGAGTATCCTACAATTTTATGGTGGGAGAGTTAGGGGAGTATGGATTATAGCAATTGACACATGATCACATAATAGGTTTGTCCGGACTTAGTTCAGAATCAGTTCTGAATTGAACTGCGCATGCGCATTTGCTTATTTATGTTCGATCTGATTAAATGCGTAAGTGCAGATCAATTCAGAACTGATTCTGAACTAAGTCCGAAAGAACCTAATACAACAAAATATTGTGATGATTCGCCAGGCTGTTTAATTGTTGAGTTAGTAAAGTAATTAGTGTCAGAGTGTTTTGTTAAGTGGAATAAATTATTGCTGTGTTAATTGGACTTTGATTTTTGGAATAAACGAAACGTACAACGAACCCAAGATTTTTGTCAGCAGGCAACCCAAAGCCGCGACAATATTATATTTGGTTATTCGCGTGAAAGAATGCCTAATATATCTCAAGAATCGGTAGAACTTGTTCTAGAACCAAGAACAAAGAACAAAATAGTTCTGAATCCTTACCGAGCTTTTGAACCGCGAACCATTTCGGAACAAAAATCGAATACTGTGAACTAATTCGACATTAGAATCGGTAGAACTTGTTCTAGAACTGAAAACAAAGAACAGAATAGTTCTAAATCCTTACCGAACTTTGTTCGCGGATCACATTTCGAAACTAATTCGGAACTAATTGTTGGAGTTCTTCTATGTTTTTGTTATCCGAGTGCTAATAATATTACTCTTTTAATTTCGAATGCAATACCTGAAGCAGTGGAGTAACAAAGAGTATAATTCCGACTGATTTGCTCATTTAGGGCACTCCAAGTAGCTTCTCCGTATGTACCTACACTTGGCCAAACATAAAACTGTACAGGCAATATATATTTTTTAAACTTGTCTAGTGTAAGTCAGGCTTAACAACAAAAAGTCTATTCTGAAAAACTTAGGTCAGACAGTTTTTGTCAACGTCAAAGGGCGCGTTTGGGTTCACGCTCGGTGCACTCAGAACTTGCACTTTTGTCTCTTTTCCGTTATTTTTGAAGCTTCGACAACGCTTGATTGTGTTTGGTTTGACATATATTGAGCGCTCAGAGCGATAAACCCCGAGTTTGTGGAGTGGGCAGCTGGAGCGTGCATGCGCAGATCAAATGTGTTCAATCTTTCTGTATAACCTAACCTATTGATAGTTTTACCTATTTTGTATAATGTTAACAATCAAATAGTTAGTAAAAACTGCATAATTGTTCATTTTTAATTAAATGTTCTCATCACTGGTATTTAGTAAACATATTTTTCCAAGGGAACTTGGCAGCCTCAGAGTGTTTAGGTCCGTTTTATTGTTTATGTAGCACGACATTTTTAGCAGAACACAAAAGAAAATGTGGCTGTTTGAAAATTATCGACAAAAATAAAAAACAAACGAGAAAACTCTGGTGCAAATGCGGACTCCAGACTCCAAAAAATATATTCTAAAAAAAATGAAAAAACAATAATCAGCTGATCCCTCAACCCAGCTTTTTTGCACGAGTTTATTTGGCTTGACACGGTGTACTCCCTGTGACGTCACGTTACTCCCTAATCGCTCTGCTCGCTCCGTCGAGCGTCAACCCAAACGCGCCCCAAATATAAATAAAACACAAAAAAGTAATCTAAATACATTTGGTGAAATATTTGAGGAGAAGTTCGATTGGTCACACCAAGCGTTCAGAAATTCATACGAAAGTTGTCGCCTAATAATTGTCATTTCAGTCACACCCATAAAATCGCACTCACACCCGGTGTGTTATTTCTGAACTCGCTCCAGAATGTAAAATTTTTTAGTACGTTTTCTGTCACAGTTGGAACAAACTTGCACAACGCAGCGACAAAATAAGGCTTGAATCACATTGAAAAGAATTTCATTTTTAATCGAGTGACGGTAAAGTTTTATCTTGAATAGGTAAATTCACTAATTCAATAGAGAGCTGTGGACCAAATATAACCAGCAGGGTTGTGGTTTCGCGGTCCAAAAGTAATCAAATAACTCTGGTTCCTGGAAAAGTGGTTCATGTCAAAATAGTATTAATTACCCAAGGATGATACACACTACTACTACGGCTTATCCTCATAAGGCCTGTGTGTAACAAATCCCCCCCTACCCCCCTATGCCAAACAACCAGTTGTGACGTAAGCAGCATGGCGTTTTTCTCCTTGACGTAGGCTGTTTAAACAGTTGACGACTTAGTTATGACGTCAGCAATGGTTGAAAACCAATATGACGGCGATTACCAAAAACGAGGCCGATAAGCACTCCTTAAAGTGTGTATTCTCCTTGATAGTTACCGGCATCTAAGTTACCGGCCATCGGATGTCGGTTCTGTTGGTTTTATTTGTCAACCGATTCGGTTACTTGTTACTTTGGTTAACGTTTGCTTATATTCGGACCATAGTCTTAAAGTGAACTCGAAGTTAAAGCCATTCAAACAAGCCTAGGAGTCGGTATTCTGAGGTGTTTTCTCGCGTCTCGAAGGTTTGAAACATTTTTCAAAACTGGTTTAAAACAGGTTCACATTACGTCATAACTTTTCGGCGCGAGAAAATGGTTTAAAAACGTGGTTTTGAATGAATCTCGAAACGATTTGAACCAATTTTGTGTGACGTCATGAATTCATCGCGAGAATATACTATTTCAAACGGCTGGGATCACGACAAGTAGAATTCTACTTCCATGACGTCATCCGCGACCTATTTATCGCGTACATTAGACAAAATGCAGGCAATGAACACAGTTGTTAGGCAACCCTGACATCATGAAATGAATTCTACTTGTCGCGATCCCGGCCCTGTTTTGAATCAGTTTCAAGAAAGTCGACACGAGAAAACAGCTCTGGTGCATTCAAGGTAAAGGCCAATTCACCATAGAAGCTGTGCAGTTAAAACCAAATTTTGCTTTGAGAACATAGTGTGGGTTTGTTTGTTTGTGTTGTTCGGAGCAGCACTTCCTGCTTTGGGGCGTTCGTTTGTGAGATCGTGTCATGGCAATGAACTGACGAGCATTCGTTTGAGAAGTGCAGTTTATTCCAAACTGTTTAGTACATGCCACATGGTCAACCTGCACTTGCTTACAGGAAGTAAGACAGGGCAACCTAAAATTCTTGGCAGGCAACCACTTTTTTATACAAAGGTATAATGAAGGGAAAAGGGCACACATTACTACTACAAGATGGCCTATCCTCATAAGACCTGTGAGTAACAAATCTCCCTCACCCCCCACGCCAAACAACCAGTTGTAACGTGAGCAACATGGGGTTTCTCGCCTTGACGTAGGCTGTTTAAACAGCTGACGACTTAGTTATGACGTCGGAAATGGTTAAAAACCGCTATGGCGGCGATTACCAAAAACGAGGCCGATAAGCATTTCTCCTAAGCACTCCATATAGCGTTTTCCATTTGTCGAATCAGGGCAAAAAAAATGTATCCTTATCCTTACATGTTACATGCTTTTAGAAAAAGATGCGTATACACTCAGTGCGGCACTGATAACAAATGGAAATCGCCATTAGAGTGTGTATTCTCCTTGGGAACAGGGAGTAACAAAAAGTACAATCTCGATCCACTTTTTCATTAAGGGCATTCTAAGTAGCTACTCCGTATCCAACTGACCGCTCGAAAAACTCCATCTTTTTTAGGAAAAGAGATATTTTGTGAACTGGAACTTTTGGGTTCACTCTTTTATGTTTTTGTTATCCAAATGCAAAAAATCTTACTCCTTTAACTTCGAATTCAATACCCGAGCCAATGGAGTAACAAAGAGTACAATCCCGATTGATTTGCTTATTCAGGGCACTCCAAGTAGTTACTTCCTATGTACTCTAACTGTTTCGATTATTGCTTTTTTTTTAACGAAAATAAAATAGCTACGTTCATGATTGCTCAAATTTAAATTTGTAAATTTATATATATATATATATATATATATATATCCAAGTGCAAATATGCTCACTCCGAATGCAATATTCGAACAGTTGGAGTATTCAAAAATATTCCAATCCCGATCGATTTGTTCATTCAGAGGGCACTCCAATTATCTACTTCGTATGCAATTCAACTGATCGATTATTATTTTTTAGCGTAATTAGAGTAAGATACGTTCATTATTGATCATACGAGTAAATTTACCTCACTCGAAAAACTCCATCCATCTTATCGTTTGTTCGATAATTTGATCAGAGTTCTCCGAGCTTGAATTTACCGTTCGTTTATTTAAAAAGTATACTCGGAGCTGCAGGCTCATTTGCGTTCGTTTATGAATTTCGGGCACTTGCATATAGCGTTCAACTACTCTGTTCGCTCGCTGGTCTCGTGATTACGGCTCCGCTCAGCACGCTCTACTCTTTGTGTACAAACACAGTGCAAGCAGGTTTTTGTTTACCCGTAACCAGCGCCGACTCGCGCTTATAAGCGCGAAAAATGGATGCATGTTTTCAAATCGGCTAGTACACAGTAACAAACAGGTAGAGTACCTGCTTTTCACTGTGTTCAAGCCAATTTATAAACATGCATTCATTTTTCGCGCTTATAAGCGCGAGTCGGCGCTGGTTACTGGTAAGCGAAAACTTGCTTGCACTGTGTTTGTACACTTTGAGCAAAATACTACGTTCGGCTCCAATATAAATTTGGACATTTTTGCACTTTTGGAATTTACTTTTTTTGTTATCTACATAAGTATGACGTCACAATATCCATGCTCATACCATTCCGCTCCGTGAAGTGCAAAGCCGAACTTAACCAAAGAATAATCTCGATTGATTTGCGCATTTTGAGCACTCCAAGTAGCTAATCAGTATTCACTCTAACTGTTCGATTATTGCTTTTTAGTGTAAATAGAGTAGCTGAAGTCAAGGCTTGTGTTGCCAACATAGTTACTAAATTTTTGTCTTGGGGAATTATCTTTAAAAAAAAAAACAGACTTTATGTATTATCCGTTCACAATCCGATGTCCACTGGTACCGGTAAAATTTATCACCTTTCAATGCTATTTGATAGGGAAATGTGAAAATGTACCTGCACCTCAAGGATGATACACACTACTACTACAGGATGGCTTATCCTCATAAGGCCTGTGTGTAACAAATCCCCCCCCCCCTTCCACGCCTAGTCAAATAACCATTTGTGACGTAAGCAGCATGGCGTTTCTCGCCTCGACGTAGGCTGTTTAAACAGCTGACGACTAGTTATGACGTCGGCAATGGTTGAAAAACAGTTGAAAACCAATATGGCGGCGATTACCAAAAACGAGGCACTCCTTAGAGTGTGTATTCTCCTTGCCTGCACCTGTGGACATCGGATTGTGAACAGGATATACGTTTACAATTAACTATAAGGATTCGAGTAAAAATAGAGACTTTTAGAGTAGAAAGTGATAAAAAGAGTTAGATTTATTCTATTATGAAGATTCTAGAAGACAATTAAGTTGCTTCTATGGAATTCTGAAATTTTGGCTTCATACAGGGTGCCCTAAAAAAGTTAGAGTTTTCTACTGGAGTTGAAATTTTTTTTCAATGCCAATTTTGAAAATTCCTCATCTTTCTAAACACCCTGTATGAAATTGAAACTTAATAAGGATTTTATGAAAAATTTATCAAATTATTAGAGGCAATTTCAATTTAAAATAATTATAAGTCAGTTACAGGGTGTTTTTTTTTTTGGAAATAGAGCCAGTTTAGTTTTCCACTATGTTGTATAAGACACCCTGTATATTGAAGAAAATATTTTAAACAGAACTTCTAATAGACAATAAATCGCTCTGTCGAATTCTTAAATTTTGTCATTATACAGGGTGTCTTAAAAAAGTTACTGACCTAAAAAGTTGATGAAAGTGTTTAAAAGCGAATTTTATAAATTTTATTTTCATCTTTTTTAGGTATTTAAATTTTGATTTTTTTCCCCTTCTCAAATATTAGTATGTTGCAGATAGATTTTTGTCGACCAATTTGTGATTGAACACAGTGTTGTCAGCTTGATAAATTTTTCACATTGTTCCAAATCGATGTTAAGTCCTTCAAATTGGAGAACATATAAACCGAATTTTCGCGACGAATGTAGTTCATCCGGGGACTAATTATAGTTCGTCTTTGACGTCATGAGTTTGAACGCTGGCTAGAAGTTGCATCCATGCTTCCGGCGAAATGCGTTCAATATGACGTCATGAGTTTCTCGCAAAAGCGTTTGTGTTTATGAAATCATGGAAGTAGTTCGTCGCGAAAATTCGGTTTAAAAGGACTGTGAGACCCCAAATTCAGAAACTTGGCAAGATGTTAAATTGGCAAGCGGTGACTTTAGTTTCTGAGTGGAAACAGTTTAAAATGGGTCCTATTTGCGGGTGGAGAGTAAAACACAGAAATATTGTGGTCAATTAAAATAAAGTTTATTTTATTAAAATAAATAATGCTTGTTATTAAATAACAGGCGTCGGTAATTAGTAATTTTACAATAAAATTGTTAGATTTCTAATAAGCATCAATTAACTGTTAAGGAAAATTTATATGATTTCAAGTAAAATTTTTTATTTACAGTTTGACTCGATTCACACTTTTGTCTTCACAATTTCTGGCTGAACATAAAAAAACTCTACGTACATTTAACAATAATATATTTACTGTTGACCTAATTACATGAAAATCTTATTGGTCGAAGGAATTTACTTTAATTATTTATACTTAATAAAAAACTCGAATATTTTCGCGCTGTTATTTCACATCGTGATTCTTCTCTCGGTTAATTCGACAACTCTTTCACGCCGTAGTTCTGACTTTCTGGACACAGGTCTCTCGATTACTGATTACTCAACCGACACTGGTCCTTCACGCCGTAGTTCTGCCGGTTTACTCGAACACTGATTTTTCTCCTGCCAAAGTTGCCTTTTATATCATTGGCCCCTCCATATTGTCTTAAATTTCTTTTTTTTTCTGACCTCGATCTTTCGTGGTTGAATCATCCGATCAATTAGTGGATTTGGTCCCGTTTTAATTAATTATCATAGGCGTCGCTAAGTGGTTTGTTAAGTAGGTATCATCATATAGGCTCGTGCATGATTTATTGATCCTTTTAGAAATTTTTCGGAATGTTAATTGTTGAAAGCACTTAATAAAAAAGGTCCATGAACTTTTGCTTTATTCACATTCCAATGTATTAATCAATATAGGGTATCGGCTTTCAATAATTTCTGTATATCGATGTTCAGATAAATTTTAATTGAAGTTTCTGGTTGTGCTGTCTAAGTGATGATCTCTCCTGGGATGGTTGTTTGGTAAGTCCTTGTTATTTTTGATTAAAATTTCTGTAGTCACTACAGGACTATGAAGTCTCGATTGCGGAACACTATCAAAATTTACCAGCAACAAAAATAGTAATCAAAATTGATTGACATCTAATGTTGAAAAAACAAATTAGAGGTTTTTCCAAAAAAAAAATTTAAATTTATACCGAAGAAGTCTCGAAAGTCTCCTCAGATTCGTTTCTCTCAACATGGACAGACCCAGAAAACCACCAGAACATCAAGCGGGCAGTAGTGGCGCTGGTAGAGGTCGCGGTGGACCAGTTTTGTATCCGCACATGATGGTCGGAACTCCAAGTACTGGTAAGGGGAATTTTACTAGTACATATAGGTAGTAAAAAAACGAAAAAAAGAATTAAATGTATAGACGCCTGTGAAGTTAGAACCCGATTCTCGGCAACGATTTTTCAGGAGAAGCGCATTACAAGGTCAATTTTTCTATGAGTTCTAACATTTTGGACAAGGGCAATGACAAGATTTTCTTTTTCTTGATTCAATTTTTTTTTAAATAAAGGTATAAGAACAGGTTTCCCATAATTTTCCCGTGCAAATTTCATTTGTACCTATTGTTAGGAATATGCATCGAAAAACCGGCGCCAGGATTCTGAGAAAATCACTTGTTTACGTCTTTCTGGAAATTCCATCATATTCGATTCAAGGTTGTTTTAACTAGATCCGAAATGTCGTAAGGATTTCGAAGTGTTGAAGCTGCAGAATATAAAAAAAAGGAAATAAATTAACCAGCGACGTTCTAAGACAATTCGAAACATCTTGGCAACATCTTTTTTCTACAGAACTAAAGGAGGCTCGATAGTTCATTTGTGAAAATAAGGATATCTTTGAGGGTAGAAATCAAGCATGAAATCAATACTGTCAGTGCTCATCTGATTCGTCAACTACCTAGAAGACTTTTTTCCCATGACAAACGACAAGAAGTGGAGTCATTAGAAGACAGTATGCTTGCAGAGGGAGATGTTTGCCAATTGTATTGCAATTTGGAACGAAGAAAGATGGATCCACCAGATTTTGGGTTGATTACAGAAAGCTTAACGATGTCACTAAGAAAAACAGCTAGGTATCCATCATCAACTAGAATTGACGATAACCTAACGACATCGACATTGGCAGATTCAAATTGATTTTCTACTTTGGACTTAAAAAGCGGATTCTGGCAGGTGGACGTTGACGAAAAAGACAAAGAGAAGATAGCGTTCTCCAATGGAACTAATACATCTTAGTTGCTATAGATGCAAATGGCCAGAGGTTTTCGCTATTTCAAATCAAGAAGCATCTACAGTTGCAAAAGTCTTCGTCAATAATGTATTTACTAGGTTTGGAATCCCATTGGAACTTCATTCGGATCAAAGCCGCAATTAAGAGTCACGACTATTTCAAATTTCAAAAACTTTGCGAACTACTAAAGGTATTCACAAGACCAGAACCACAGCATTACATCCACAATCAGATGGCATGGTTGAGAGATTCAACAAAGACAATCGAGGGAGTTGGTAAATCATCAAATTAAGAAGATGGAAAGGAAAGTGAAGACATGCTCATGCGCTAATATTATCAAAAGATAGATTAACGTGGGCTCAATGTTGATTTTGGACACAAACAATTGTGGTACTTCGGTATCGGAAGACATTCCAATTGTTCTAAATCTTCGCGGGAAGGCTTACATTCTAAGAAGTGTTGGACATTTTATGGTGTGTCAGCTGTTCTTATGGCGTGGGGCATTATTGTTACAGGTTACAGCCGACGCCGACGTCTCGATGATGTGGGAGATCTTTGACGATCGAGAAAAACAACACAGAACTATTTCATCCACAGAACAGCTTAGTCTACATTTACAAATCTACACTTTGTTTAATTTATCGTATTGTTTTTATCAGATACAGAAATCAAATATTTTCGTAAATAAAAAAAAAAATTAAAGGTTTTACAGTATTTCTCACAATCCAGAAAACTCCTCTGTAATGAAATTTGAACCTCAGTTCATTCTTTTGTATCTGGCTCAGAAATTAACGTTTCCTTTCAAAAGTGTCCAAATTGGACCACCCTGTACATTATTCAACAACGTAAGTAAAGTAAAAATAAATGTTTGAAAAATCATTGTTGATAATTCATAACCTGCGCCCCCCCCCCCCCCCCTTGAAGAAAATCCTGGATCCGCCCCTGCGATCAGTAGGATTATTAATTGGCAAATTTGTTTTGTGGATAGTTACGAATAAGTTTATCGGAAGATGAATATATAGTTACGTAGAATAAATTATTGCTGTGCTAATTGGACTTTGATTTTGGAATAAACGAAACGAACTCAAGATTTCTGTCAGGCAACCCAAAGCCAGAGCCGTAACAATTGGTGTCAGAAGTGAGACATAAAAGGACTGCAGAGTGAAATCAATTGCAGAATAGTGCGGGGACACTAAAGTAGTGTGAACACTGAAAACTTAGGGCGGGTATTATAAAACTACTTTGAGAGTTAACTTAAAGTTAACTTCTGGAATTACATGTAATTCAAAAAGTTAACTTCAAGTTAACTGTCAAAGCAGTTTTATAATACCCGCCCTAAGTGAGTGAACTGACCTGAACACAGGACAGTTAGTCAGTGCAAACAAACTGTGGTGCAAACAATAACAATCACAAAAAGAGACTTAACCCTTAAATGCATATTGTTGCTTTTCGGCAACATACTTCTAATCATCCGCCTGGAACGCACCCGATGGCAAATATTGCGCTGCTGCATAGCGTGTCCATTTGTCTACAAACCTCCCAAATACAAGATGCCCACAAGTCGCTTAAGGGGGCGCGTGTAGGAATGATGAGCCTCCATTTTGGTTATTCCACAGGTGTCCTTCGCACTGTTTTTGTTGTGAATTTTCAAAAATTGGTGTTTTTGAAAAGAGTTTTAGTGGGTGAAGCAAAAATTGTTTTTCGAGTTCTTACAGGTATGTATTATGCATATATCATGTTCTTTGGTGAAAATATAGGTTTTTTTTGTGAAGTAAGGTTATTTTTGTTATATTACCAATCGGCAACACTATGCATTCTCTCCATTTCATGTTTTTTTCTGAGTGTTGCCGATTGGCAACATCATGTATTTATGAGTGATATTCTACAGGTATTTTCTTTTTCTTTTTTCTAGTATGAGCAAAAACAAACCACTAAGCGACCAAGAACTTGCGGCTTATTGGGAGAATTTTTCTGGTCTGAGTGATGACGGATATGATGTAAGCGATTCAGATAGTTCTTTTATACTAGAGAGTGATAGTGATGATGATTCCAACCATGATGATGCCGACCATGATAATGCGACACTAGAAGAGGAAGAAGTCGTCCAGCAGTCCAATGATGATAGTGATGATGTTTCCAACCATGATGAATCCAACCATGATAACGCAACACTAGAAGGGGAAGAAGTCGTCCAGCAGTCCGATGATGATGAAGATTTGCCATTGTCGACCTTTTTGCCTACCAAAAAGAAAAAAGCGCAGGCGAACTCAAAAAAAAACATTGACTGGAAATCAAAGTCTTTGGAGTTGAATGAGGATCAGCTACGCTTTTATGGGGATACTGCGTTGTCTGCTGAAATAATGTCATTAGAAACTCCTTCTCAGTTCTTCTCATGCGTTTTCCCAGAAGAACTGATAGCAAAGATTACTGAGGAAACCAACCTATAAGTATTCAGTGCAAACTAAGCCTGAAAGACCACCTATTTTTAGAGAGAACGAACTGAAGAATTACTTTGGCATCATCATTTATACTTCTCTTGTACATATGCCCAACGTCAAGTCATTTTGGAGTGAAGAATTGAGATTTGCACCTATCGCAGATGTGATGCCAGTGAACAAATTTGAAAAAATACGCCAGTTTATTCATTTCAACAACAATGCTACCTTCATTCCTCGTGATCAGCCGGGACACGATAGGCTGCACAAGATCAGACCCCTCGTTGACTACCTGAACAAGAGATTTTCTTCAGTGGCTTTGGAGCAATATGTCAGTATTGATGAGCAAATGTGCTCCACGAAAGTCAGACATTATATGAAGCAATACATGCCAATGAAGCCTCATAAGTGGGGATTCAAATTTTTTGTGATGTCAAGCCATTCGGGGTTTGCCTATAAATTCGAAATTTATACTGGTGAACAAAAATATGATCAACCTGATGATGAACCCAACCTTGGAGTTACTTCCAATTTGGTTTTACGCTTAGCTAAAATTATTCCTCGCCAGAAGAATTACAGACTGTATCACGACAATTACTATACATCCTTGCCCCTAATGGTATATTTGGCGAAAGAGGGAATTCTTTCTCTGGGCACAATAAGACGAAACAGAATACCAAATTGCAAATTGCCGATGGAAGCTGCCATGAAGAAAGCGGATCGTGGGACCAGCCACGAGTTGGTTGCTTCAGTGGACGGTGTTGACATTTCTACTGTTGTGTGGAAAGATAATAAATATGTGACTTTAGCGTCATCCTTTGCAGGAAAAAAACCTACCTCGAAAGTAAAACGGTTCAATCGCAAAGAGAAAAAAACCATAGAAGTTGAATGCCCATTCATTATTTCCGAGTATAACCGACATATGGGGGGCGTTGATTTGCTGGACAGCTTCATGGGAAGGTACAAGATACATTTGAAAAGTCGCAAATGGTACATGCGTATTTTCTATCATTTTCTGGATTTGAGTTTGGTAAATGCCTGGCTACTCTACAAACGAGTTCTTTCGGAAAAACAGCCTGGTTGCAAGGTGAAAAACCAAGCTCAATTTAGAGCAGAAGTGGCTTATAATTTGTGCAATGTGAAAGCGCCCCCTAGGAAACGCGGACGTCCGAGTACCAACCTGGAAAACGAATTGGAAGAAAAAAGAAAAAGAGGTCCAATGAAGCACCTGCCGCCGATGGAAGTTCGTACTGACCAAATGGGGCACTGGCCAGTCCTTCAAGAAGCCAAAATGAGGTGCAAGTTTCCAAAATGTAAAGGTTTTACACACACTAAATGCGAAAAATGTGGTGCAGATCTTTGTTTGAATAAAATAAATAACTGTTTCAAAAACTTTCACATGTAAGTTTCTCATCCTGTAATACATGATGTTGCCGTTTAGCAACAAACAGTTTTCTTGTGAAAATAAAGTGAAAAACACGATTTTCATTTTTTTCTTTATTTTTGACCAATTCAAAGTAGCGTATTCATGATATTTGGAATTTGAAAAAAAAATCATGCATTTAAGGGTTAACCGATCGTGAAAATTACCCCGGAAGTGACTCTATACCCGATTTTAACTGTGATAGTGATTAG